AGAGGCAGACTTAGTTACCAATTTTGACAAAGAGGTAATTAACTTATTGAGAGACCAGAGAAATTTACTTTATGGACATAGGTTTCATCTGATTTTAGACCAAGTCCTTGTACACCCTCAGGCCATTAAGGAGGGCATTTTGAATCAAATCATCAATGCCTCACAAATGATAAAGCTGGAGACAGATCCACATGCTGCATTTGCATTAATTATTGATGGGAAGGCTCTAGCATATACTTTAGAAGATGATATGAAGCATCAATTTTTGGGATTGGCTGTTGATTGTGCTTCTGTCATCTGCTGCCGTGTGTCTCCCAAGCAAAAGGCGTTGGTATGACTTTTCTCCCGTTTCTCATTTTTACTTCTGTTGGAATTCTTCTAATGTTTGGTATTCTACATATTCATTTTTCATCGCTTTCAGTACTGCTAAGCTGTGGATTTTTTGGTGTATTTTGCACAATGATTCACTTGGCTCCATTAAAGTTTGACCAGAAATAGTTTAAGTGAGGCTAATTATAAAAAACTCAAGTGGATCCATAAACGCAATTGTTCACTGTTTCGAGAGAAATAGAATAATGTTGCACACTGCTTCTTTTTAGTCAACTTATGAATACCTTGGTGTCAGGTAACAAGGTTAGTTAAAGAAGGCACTGGGAAGACCACTTTAGGAATAGGTGATGGTGCAAATGACGTTGGCATGATTCAAGAAGCAGATATTGGTATTGGTATTAGTGGGGTTGAAGGTATGCAGGTTAGTGACGTACATTCCAACACTTTCTCTATGGCTGTGTCACGAAAGTATGGATGCATTCCAAGCTGTTTTCCTGCAACGTTATATACAAAGACAACTGGAATTTTACTTGTATGGTTTCAGTTTCTTTGCTTTCGAAAGATAGGAAAGCTAGATAGAGGAAGCCTGTCATGTCTATTTACATTCATAGCAAGATGAGCAGAGAAGCAAATCTTTGGCAATTTTGTAGAGGATTTTTGTTACTCTGTGATATGCGATAAATAAGTCAATAGAGAAGAGAGCTCTGCATTGTTATAATTTGTTAAATCATAAATGGAAGTGTTTTCTAAAAAAAAACATATGTAGGTTTCCTTTATCTGGAAGAAGTTACAAATTTCTTTTGTTTGACATGTGGATAGGTTTAAAAATGAGATTATGGGAATTATTATCTTTTCAAAATTTAAATTCAGTAAATTTGGGTGCTCTCTTCCATAGCAGAGTGTAAGTAAATACACTAACTTGCTAAGATTTATTCCCAAGTTTGCCACCATCAGCCATAGAATTCTTTTTGAATTGTTATTTTCATCATTACGATTCAAGAAAGCGCGCATTCAGATTTTGAAAGTGCACATTCAGATTTTTCTGTTTTCAAAGCATATGTCGGAAATCTATGGAGCTCTAACTTGTAACATATTTTCAGGCAGTGATGGCTAGTGACTTCGCTATTGCCCAATTTAGATTTTTGGAACGACTTTTGGTGATCCATGGACACTGGTGCTACAAGAGAATAGCTCAAATGGTGATTGCTGATCGATGTTCATCTTGGATATCATTCTCACATGTTGGATATGCCTTCAATATCACTCTTAACATATGTATTGAAAATGATGTTCTATGCATGCAGATATGCTATTTCTTCTACAAAAACATAGCTTTTGGGCTCACCATCTTTTATTTTGAGTCCATGACGAGCTTCTCTGGGCAATCAGTTTATGATGACTGGTACATGATATTGTTCAATGTTGTTCTAACATCATTACCTGTCATTTCGCTTGGAGTATTTGAACAAGATGTTCCATCAGAAGTTTGCTTACAGGTTTGTCCTCTTCATAACGTTTCATCCATGGTAATTGAAGTACATGTTTAGGAAACTCCCAAACACACATTTGTTGGATCTTGTAAATGTCCATTTCAATCGGAAGGGAAACGGACTTTTGGGAGTTTCTCAAACACGCTGTGTCAGCAATGTTTCCCGACCTACATTTACGACGCAATGTTTCTCTTCGCAGTTTCCTGCTCTATACCAGCAAGGCCCTAGAAATGTGTTTTTTGACTGGTTTAGAATATTGGGATGGATGCTCAATGGTCTATTTTGCTCCCTCGTTGTCTTCTTATTCAACATCTGCATTTTCTCTGACCAAGCGTTTCGAGGGGATGGCCGGACCTCTGATATGGCTGTTGTTGGTACCACGATGTTCACTTGCATAATATGGGCTGTCAACTGCCAGATTGCCCTCACAATTTGCCATTTCACATGGATGCAATACATATTTATCATAGGCAGTATAGCCTTTTGGTACATATTCCTGGTGCTATATGGCATGCTTTCACCAAATTATTCAAAAACTGCCTACCAAATCCTGCTTGAAGTTCTTTCTCCTGCCCCAATGTATTGGTTGGTGACTTTTCTAGTAACAGTTACTTGCAATTTTCCTTATTATGCCCATGTATGCTTTCAAAGATGGAAAAGTCCTTTGGATCATCACATTATCAGAGAGATCAAGCACTACAAGAAGGACGTAGAGGACCAACGCATGTGGAAGAGGGAAAGGTCTAAAGCAAGACAGAAAACCAATATTGGGTTCAGTGCAAGAGTGGAAGCTAAGATGAGGAATTTGAAGCATAAGCTGCATAGGAAGCAATCAGCCTTGCCTTTCATGTCTTCTCCAGACGGACATTACAAATGATTTAACAATTTTGGCTTGATTTCTTTTTCTTCTTTCTTTTCGAGTACAGATGTAGATGATTCTTTGATCGAAATGGTGGGTTATGATTCGAGAGATCACGGAGAAGTGATAATGCTAGGAGTTTTTACTTAGAAAAATCTTGTGTTTTATATCATGCTGCAGAAAGAAACAAGTGTAGTTATTATGTTTAGGATTATAGTCACAAGAAATTACATCCCTCTTGTAAATTTTGAAACATATCAGCTACAAGCGAAAGAGTTGCAACAATATTTAATATTATTTAAAAATACATTCACATATTTCAAATTATATTGGTCTTAAATTATTTAATTTTGTAAAAATATTCGTTAAAGATAGTCTAAAAATTTACAAAAGAGAATTATGTGACAATCTATTGATCAACTAGCTAACTTCAAAATAACATCTTAGTTAGTAAGAGGTCGCTTATTGAACTCGTGGCTTGCTGGTTGGACCATGCTGGCTTCATTTTGTTGCTAGTCATCGTTCAATTCCGCAAGCATTACACTGACTCTGAGATGCTTGTTTGATTGTTTTCAATCCTAACTATGAGGTGTTTCAAAATACCTCCCTTTTTTAAGGGATATAAGATCCCTTTAGAGATTTGGATGTTTTGTTTTGTAATTGTTCTTTTATTTTTGGGAAAATAGCAATCAAGAATCGTTGGAGCTGAAAGAAATTTATATCAGTCAAGAATTAATTGTTATGAAAATCCGAATGAAAAATAAGGCAGAATTGATAGTTGTTAATTTAAAATGAGTTGTTTTTAAAACTTGAATAGATATTTGTTGATAAAAAACTAACTCGAATTAATAAGTATGCATTTAAGTTTTGACAACAAATGATTCTTAATTTATATAAATTTCTTCCAACAGTTATTGATTGATATTTTTTTTTATTTTTTCAATAAAAAGATGATTAATTACTCAAATGGAAATTACAAGTTTTTTTTTTTGGTTAGAGGAATTACAAGTTAAAGTAAAAGCTAATTTAACAACTTCTTGTCATTCATGGCCTTCTTATAAAAAGATAAAAAGATGGTGAATGATCAGAAGTGTAAAAATCACTAAACTAGTCAAGAATGTTAACAGTCAATCAATATGCATAAAAATTGACTTCCCCATACATAAATTCTTAAAGACACGCCCCTGTCCTTATATAAGAAAAATAAAATCTAATTTGGTCAAGAATATCATTGTCTAGGTGAAATTCCACACAATCGGTAAAAACTGACTTTTCGATTGTTGCAACACATGTGAAAGCCATGTAAGATAGCAACAACCCTTGTATTAACCAGTAGAAAGTTGCCAATATTGGCACTGAACCCCACTTCCCAGTGTGCATTAATTACTAAAGAGAACTAGGCCTATTTTCCGGGATTGGAAAGATTCTGTGGTTACCAAACTATTCATGCTGAGATTAATCTTGACATAGGTTTTGAGATATTTTGATAAATGACAATCGTCACTGATCAGCAAAAAAATTTCAAGGACTTTACATAAATAGTCAAATGATTGTTCGAATGTGCGGGAACTCCACAAGTATACATCCACTTAACATATAAACCACGTTTGAGGGATCTTATGAAATTAAAATATGGATTGCTTCTAAAGTGTGGGAGAGAAATATTCAGTGAAATTATAAGAATAGACTTGTCCATAATTTTCAGTAGCAGACTTGATATTTCATTATATTTGATTCTCTCTCATTTTAAAAGTACTTTATAAATTTTTATTTTTATGTGTTTCAAACCTTTTGTGGATGGAACAATTGACTGAATTATGCAACAATTTAATGGAGGCAAATATTTTCTCTCAGAGAAAGCGTACTTACTCACTGCCAAAAAACAAAGATGGCTTGATTAGAACAAAATCTTATATTTTTCGAATTGTATGAAAAAGAATTTGAATTTTGATAATTGACCCCATCTTTACCAATTATCATCCCCATTGTATGAGCAAGTTCCACGTGGCTGAAAAAACAAGTATTTTTTAGCAACTAAAGTGTTTTGGTAAAAAAAAAAATTATAAGAAAATATATACATTTTAAACCAAATAAACACATTTTTAAAATATCAAGATCACATATACTTGAGGAAAAAGAAAATTTCCATAGTTTACTGGCTCACGATAATATTAAGGGGAAGATGCACAAGAATAATGGTTCAATAAGGCCTAAACTGAAGGTTAAAAAAAGAAAAAACTCATTTGGATCAACAATAACAATAATAATGAAAAAAGCCTAAACTCATGAAAACAACGTCGTCGTTTTAACAGTGTCGGATGGAGAAACAGGAAAGCAACAGCGGAGGAGAAACATACAGCGTCAGCTCAGCTCCGAGAAAATCCGTATCGATTGGATCAAAGCGCCATGACGCTCCCTCTGGGGTTTTCTTCACCCTCTCTCCGTCCTCCGCCCTACGCTAAACTTTTATGAGCACAATTCCTCTCTTCCAATTCTCTGTTCCACCGTTTCCCCCTTTTCGTCTCTCTTCCATCACCTTGGATTTCTCTGCTGCAATGTCCACTTGAAGTCGTCCCTCAAGTACCGTGGTTGGTGATTCGCTTCCAATTTTCTATTCTGATGAAAATTCCTTTTCCTGTGGGGTTATAAACCCCAAACATTTTTTTTCGCTGATTTAATTCTAGGGTTTAGGCGTGATCGGTGATCAAATTTTGCTGGATGGAACCTCGAGTTGGAAACAAGTTTCGTCTTGGCCGGAAGATTGGTAGCGGATCGTTTGGAGAGATCTACCTCGGTGAGTTCGATTCCTTTCGCTTTTAATTTGTTCTTTTTTGCTGGGAATTCCTGAATTTTTGTTGATTTCTATTTTTTTCCACCGTCAGGTACTAATATTCAGACAAATGAAGAGGTTGCAATTAAGCTTGTGAGTACCCGTACCTACTTGAGTATGGATATTTTTTATTTTGAACTTTTGTCACGGGCGAATTCGGGATTATAGTTAATGACATTCAATGCTTAAAACGTGTTGCAGCTTCGTTTAAACTCGTTGTACTGATATCTTAATTTAGTTTTTTTTTTTTTAGCATTCTGGAATATGCTGCTGAGAAATGTAGTTGATCGTAGATTCTTATTGTACGATAAGATGCGTTACAACTCAAGTAATAAATTTGATTTACTTGTTTAATGCATTATGAATGCCCAGACCGCTATGCTTAACTTCTGGAGAACTTGATGAAGAATGAGTACTGGACAAGAAGAGATGATTGTACCATACTGCTACTGTATTTTGTTCAGAATTTCTTAGTAGTTATCTCATTGTAGTTTGCTTTATCAGTTCTGGTAAAGGGAGGAGTTCGTTGATAGGCTCAAAATGTTTATATTTTAGTACTGCAGTTGCAAAAAGGCAGAAGATTGTCTCCAGATGCTTTGGTGCCTCCTGCATATCTGATGTATATCTTATTATTCTAGATCCCTAGGGATTGATAAGCATTTCAAGTTTTTAGATCATCTGAATGTTTGTTGATAGTTGATTATTTGTTCATCCATTATGCTGGAATATGGTAATTGTAGCATTGGTTATCACTTGAAGGATTCTATCTGAGGCCTGAACTTAATTTCTTGGATCCTTTTCTTCATGCAATGCTTTGTTTTATCATCATTTTTAAGTCACTTCTTGGATATCTATGTTTGGTATAAGGGGTTGTGTTTAATGAAATGTTTTCCTCCCCTTTGCCTTTGACTCAGGAAAATGTCAAGACCAAGCACCCGCAACTGTTGTATGAATCGAAGTTGTATAAGATACTACAAGGAGGAAGTAATGACTCTTGTCACAATATTTCTGCCTGCTGGATTTCTTTGATTGTCACAGGCTCCATGTTACTCCCTTAGCTTAAACAATTTCTACTTGGCTACGTGTATTTGTCAGCTGGAATCCCAAACTTGAAATGGTTTGGTGTTGAAGGAGACTACAATGTGCTTGTAATGGATTTATTGGGGCCTAGTCTTGAAGATTTATTCAATTTTTGTAGTCGGAAGTTGTCCCTCAAAACTGTTCTCATGCTTGCTGATCAGATGGTAGGGTTCCCATACCAATGATCATTTTTTCTGTTATATTCCATTCCATATTTTTTTCTTTTTACTTAATGTGGCAACCTTGAACTATTGGCAGATAAATCGAGTTGAATTTGTCCATTCCAAATCATTTTTACATCGTGACATCAAGCCAGACAACTTCCTCATGGGCTTAGGGAGGCGTGCAAATCAAGTATTAATTTGATTCTTGCTTATTTATAATACTTTATTATATTGTGTCTTATATCGTATTTTATATGGATGTATAATTTTCTTAGTTGCCCCTATTGTAGGTGTACATCATTGACTTTGGTCTTGCTAAGAAATATAGAGACACTTCTACTCATCAGCATATTCCTTACAGGTAACTATTCTTATTGATTTGTTTTTTTTTTTTAAATTATTGCTGCTAGGTTGCAACTTACAAGCCTATTTTATTGTACCCAATGGTAATTTTCCCTTTGAGATGTATGCACACTCTTGTAATGTATGTTTTTATATTAATTTTTATTATGAATATCTTGAAATTAGTTTTTAAACTATTCACATTGATATAACATCTGTTTTTGGCAGCTTCAAGTAGCAGTGTACTTCTCTGCTGTTTGTGATAATTAATCATGCTGTAAACTTTTGCAGAGAGAATAAGAATTTAACAGGAACTGCAAGATATGCTAGCATGAACACTCATCTTGGAATTGGTATTTATCCCATAAGATATCCCCTTTCTTTTGTATGTATTGTGGTAAGCTTGTAAGTGATTATGATTTTGAATAATGTCCTTTTATTCTTTGTTAGAGCAAAGTCGTAGGGATGATTTAGAGTCTCTTGGATACGTTCTTATGTATTTTTTGAGAGGAAGGTAAACCTCCTTGTGCCTGTGCTACTACTTATACCTCTTTTCCCTTTTCTGCATTAAATTTTGACATGTTATTTTTATAGTCTTCCTTGGCAGGGACTGAAAGCTGGTACTAAGAAGCAAAAGTATGAAAAGATCAGTGAGAAGAAAGTTTCTACTTCTATTGAGGTAAACTTGCATGCTAAGACTGATCATACATATTATTTGTAATTTTGTCAACAATATTTATATTTTAACTGAATGTGGACTACCCTTTCTGTAGGCACTCTGCCGTGGTTATCCTTCAGAATTTGCATCTTACTTCCATTATTGTCGGTCACTTCGGTTTGATGATAAACCTGATTATGCTTATCTAAAGAGGCTTTTCCGTGACCTTTTTATTCGTGAAGGTTTGATGCTTCTTTTTGCTATAATTTTTATGCAATTTGTGGATTATAAGTTGTCCTTGATGATCGTATTTCTTTACAGACAGTTTTGTTATTTATTTCATGCCATTATTCTTATTATTTTCTGGTTTCACCAGGATTTCAGTTTGATTATGTCTTTGACTGGACCATTTTGAAATATCAGCAATCTCAAGTTCCCACTCCTCCTGCACGTGGTATTGTAAGTGACATTTGCATTTTGGTTGTTTTCTTTGCTTGTTGACAGTTGGTGATCTTGGTTAGAAATGTCACTCACAGGTTCCTGGTGTTGGACCAAGTTCTGGCATGCCACCAACGGTTGCAAATGCTGATAGACATTTAGGTATATGCTTGTGTGTTTAGATTGTTGCTTTGATTCTTATATTATTGATCTATGAAGTATATTGTTTGATCTTTAATCAAAACACCTTGAAGATGAGTAAAGCCGTTTTTCCTTCATTTTGCCTCTTAGTTGACTATTTGATACTAGGTTGACTTCCTCCATCTTGATGAGTGAATAAAATTTATAATATCTGCAAAATGATTATTGTTACAAGGTTATCTTTTTTTCTGTTTTTTTGGCTTAGTCTTAAATATTTTCTTTTGTGATTCATTATTGTGTATTTTACAGCATATTGACTTGATTGTAGGCGGGGAAGATAGTAGGCACACTGGTTGGACTTCATCGGATCCTACTCGGAGGAGAAACTCTGGCCCTATTGCAAATGATGGCATTTTACCAAGGCAAAAAGCCCCAGTTACAAGTGACTTGACTGGTTCTAAAGATGCTATGGTGTGTATGTTTCACTGCTTGGGATTTTCTTCCTTTGGGTGTATTTCTTGAACAAAGTTGAAGGATTAAAGTTGATTTCTTTTTTCTTTGGATAGAAAAAAGAATTTATTGAATAGAAGAGATGAGCTTTACAAAAAGGAGGACAATGAGTCCTTGGAAATCAAAGAAAAAATGGTGGGTTCATTAGCTAAAATGAGGAGTCCAATCCATTGGCAAATCCTCATTGGAAGCCCTCGTAAAAATGAAAACCAGTGGCTTTAACCCATAAGGGAATGAAAAACTAAGCTTTGCGCGCACACATTCAATATAATTAGCATAAAGGTTAAACAACATGAAAGAAAATTGAGTTTCAAACAAGTATTTGAAATGAAAAATAAGATATCCCTACCAAGCTACCAATCTGCATATCTTCTAGTGACAAATATTGGTGGGAAGGGGAGCCACCTCTTGTCCTATTGGGCTAGGTTGTCAGTGGCAGGAAGGAGATACCAATTTGGATCTCTTTTGACATCACAATATTCCTGATAAGTTCTTGAACCATTTCAAAGTGTTTCAAAACTTGTTAATGCGTTTTGGAATGATTCTGAACTTTTTATTTTGGATTGCCAAGGGGCCAAGTAAAGTTGCATATATATTATTCAGACTTCACTAAAAAGGGGGAAACAGGGCAATGTTAGAATGCGTTCCACCATGAGTTAACTCCTTCTGGGTTTGTCTCCAAAGATGGTGGAATCACTGCTGGGAATTTCAGTTACTCAAAGTATTACTTTACCATTGTAGTCTTCTCTTTATTTGTCTCATTACCCAGGAAAAAAAAAAAAAAGAAATACACAAAATCCTTGCAGGACCCCATTTTCGTTTCTACTCCATTCTATGTTATGATATCAAATGAGTCCAAATCACGTGAAAAGATAGGCGTATTGGGCCTTCATCTCCTTTAGTCTAATAAAAGGGCTTTACCTTAGAGGGAATGGGGATATGGGGAAGCATATGCTGATGTTAAAGGTGCTCACCTCAGTGCCTGAGGCGCGTCGGTGAGAAGCCAAATGACTCTAGTGCCTCTCATAGTATGAGAGCACTTGCTGTATCAAGGCACCAAAAGGCGAGTGCCTTTGACACTTCTACATGAAGAAAGTCCCACCTTAGGCGCCTTGGACATTTGATGGAGAAAGTCCCACCTTAGGCATGTTAGACATATGAAGGAGTTGGATTGAAAGTCCGAGCCTAAAATCTATAAAATACTATATGAAAGTTCCACATATTGGGATCAGCACACTATTCATCTATTTTTTGTTCATGTCACTTTTTCAGAAAATATATGTACAGAGTTATTTCAATTTACATTTATCTATTTTTTGTCTATTTGTCTTGTTCTCTTTAGTGCTTCTCACCTCAGGCATTTTACAAGTATGGTGCATTGGGGGCGTTTTTCATCTTTTACTACTTTCTGATTTTCACTACAAGGAAGAAACCTACCCAATAAGAGTCTTTGACATGCTTGGTTTATGCAAGGAGCAAGCAGGGCTGGGCCCAGGTAGGGAGAGAGGGGAGGGGGGACTATCATGGGAGAGATGAGGATTTGAGGGAGGTGCAACATTCCTAGCTGGTAGTTGAGGGGGCCTTGTCTCTCCAACACCAGGGTAGGGTTATTCCATTTCAAGTTTTCTTTCTTTTTCATCACTAGCGTCATTGATAGTTTTCTCTCAACTGATGTGATAGTCCTTATTCCTCATTATAGTAAAGTATGAGCTTGCTGAATAATCATAAAAGCCTGAATTCCATCAGGGAGCCTTGGCTTTTCTAGGCTCTCTAGGAAACTTTGATGATGAAAAGCATTGTGCTTTTGGACTTTGAACAAAAAATATAGAGAACAAGAATAAGAACCTAAAGAATCCAAATTCCAAATCCTTCTACCAGGTATAGTAGAAGCATGGCATGATAAAGCAAGAATGTTATGAAAATTTTATGAAGACTTATTATTTAGAATGGTTAGAAAACCTGCAAATGGAGCATTGATTGATGTGGATAAACTGATAAATTCACGGACTTCTAAAGATGAATTAACATCCAGTGGTTCTCTCAAAGCTGAAAGCAAGAACCATTCCCAACTCAAGAAGCAATCAGGGGTAATAGGAAACGATATACCTGAGAGAAATCATTTCAGGGGTTTACATTAGCAGCAGCAATCCCTTTGTTGGAGTTCTAACCATTCTGATAAACTCCATATTTGCCCTTATAAACTCATGCCATAAAGATTCAGGCTCCAAAAGAAACCACCATAGCCACTTAGCCATTGGGGAGATTAGACACCAAATTACCAAGATCCAACCCCCATTTACCATTGTTGTCAGTGGGCTTTACTTGTACAAATGGAATGCAAAACAGGTAACGATTTTTGTTTTCTTTGGAGTCCAAGCTTGTGCTGGACGAATTATATTTGGTTGCTGGAGTTTTCTCCTACTGTGTTGACTTTAGTAATGTGCTAATGCATGTGTGTGTGTGTAGTTCATATTTCCTGGGCAATGAAAGCAACATGTGCCTTTTTGTTTTGTTTGGGGCATTTTTTAAGTGAGTAAGACCTGATCTGCTTAGTTGCTTTATGATCATGCTGCAATTTCTTGTCAGTGAAGGTCACACCTGTCTGTCTGTCAATTTTATTTTGCGCTTTATTCCATGTCAAACTTTTGACTAACTATGTATTGATTATGCAGTTGTCAAGCTCCATTCTCTTCAGGGCAAGTGGGTCACAAAGGCGAGGTGCTGCTTCTGGCAGTCGTGATGCAGTTGTTGGCAGTGAGACTGAACCCTCTCGCCCTCTTGCAGTGGATGCGAGTCCTGGAATGCTTCGTAAAGTCTCTGGTGCTCAAAGAAGTTCTATTATTTCATCAGAACAAAACCGGACTTCATCTGGAAGAAACTTGTCAAATGTAAAGAATTTCGACTCAACTCTCAGAGGTATTGAGGGCCTGCATTTTAATGATGAGAGGGTGCAGTATTAGCAGCTGCCTCTCTTGGTACCTTGTCTTTCTTGTAAATTCTGAAAAAGTTTCATGCTCTTTCACATGCTTTACTCAACGGAGTGTTGGCTGTTCATTGTTCGAAGAAAGCTGCGACAAGTTGGGAAGTCACTTTAAGAAGTATACAATAAAGACATGCTTAGGTGGATTCCTGACTATCTCTAGCCTGTTATCAAGGCTTTTTGTTAATACTGTTAATGTACTGATATTGGCTTTACATCATCTTTACTGTATTTGGTCTTGAATTTCTAATCATATCTGGCAAATATCTGGATTTAAACTATTCTACTGTGAGACTTTTAAGTAGGAGAATGCAAGGTTTTGTGATCGCTGATCAAGATGTGAACATAATTATGGGTTGGTTTCTTGTATGACAACGAAGTTGGAGATTTTGACCGTCAAGTATATTTAGTTTCAAAAGTTGATCAACTGGTTTTGTTTTGTTTTGTTGACCAGAACAGCATGAATTACCTACACCAAGAGGTTTGTTTTGTTTTGTTTTGTTTTGTTGGCCAGAATTCCCAGGTTTGATTGGCGTTGTTTTGAACAGAATCTCCTGGAAATGGGTAGGCATTTAAACATGCGGGTTAGGGCTGATATAGCTTAGGATTTTGCTTACGGTGATTGTGTACTTGTAATTTATATTGGAATAGATTACGTCTCTTCATATATAGCATTGTCATAGTTTGTATCTATAACTGCTTTTCGCATTTCATACGATTCATTTTGTCGAGCAAAATGAAGTTCTAACACTAAAATGATAAGCTCTTCTCCGTGTGAGATCTTCCGAGATCTCTCAATGTAAAGGGTGGGCGAATGAGGCTGATGCGATATGTGAAAGTTACACCTGATAAGTTTTAATTTTATGGAAGTGTTTAGTGAAACGTGTGAACATAAAAGTTTAGTTCTAAACTCATCAAATTTGTAAACTGCATCAATGATCGGTAAGTACATTAATTTTAGGCTAAGTTTCAGGTGATTAACCAGTACGCTGTAGCGTTATGCTTAATGGCCTAAATGTAAAAGGCTTGTGATAAATTTGTACCGACGAATGAATCTCATTAAACAAGTTTCGTTCTCAACCATCTCTCTCTCTCTCTCTCTCTCTCTCTCTCTAAATTTCTTATGACAAATTTTGAGGCGAGAAAAATAAAAAGAAAACAATTAATTCTAGAAGACTAGATAACAATTATATTTATAACTAACATCTTTTTTTGTCCAATTTGACTCTTTCATATAATTATTATTACAAAATGGAGATCTTGAATCAATAAATTGTGCTAGTATTAACATTAGTTACACAAAGGATAGGATGGAAAATTGAAAATTATAATCCTGACTTGATATCTTGAGAACACTTCAAAAATAATAATTGTACGCATCAACTCAGATGTCAAGATAGGAAAAATCATTTTCTAGTGCACAATATTAGACTATTAAAAAGCTAATGTAAAAATCAATTTCATTAACTTTAGAAAGAAAAGATGATTGAGGTGTTAAATATATATATATATATATATGGTATAATTTTTTTTCTTTTCATATTGAATCTAAATAATTCAAAAACTATCAAGCAAAGAGAAGTGGAGAAAGAAGATTTTTTTTTGGGGGGGGGGGGTCTCAATATACGCAGAAAATATTACACAGATATGTTCTTTTATAGCCAATTCCTTTTTTAAAATTTTCTGAGAGGAAGCTAAATAGAGATATCCATGAAACTCTGCCTCGCACAGTCAAAATTAACTGCCATCATAGTGAAGAAGACAAGCACATACATACTTGGATCAGAGGCTGAAACGTTACAGAATCAGATTAATCCCCACAAAACCCAGTCAGCTTTCTGAAATAATTAAAATTGAAAATTACCCAAAAAAGAATCTAATGAAAAGCATAGAACCATACTTCAAAGATGAACAGAAAATCACCATTTGACATTCCATACATAAACATAATAGTTCATGAAACTCCATACATCACAGAGAGACAATTTTAGTTGAACATATTCAGAATTCAAAGAAAAAAAAGTACAAACTAGTAAGTATTAATCACCACCATCCATAGATGACATGGTTATAAGAGCTCTTGATCCACCTGAAGCTCTTCCTCAGAGACCCTTTCATTTTGCCTTCCATGTCATACACTCTGTAGCTAGCAACTCTCTTCTTCCTCTGCATTTCTGGGTCACTGAAACTCCAACTTTTTGAAACTTTCTTCCCTTTCTTCATCTTCCCCTCCTTCTGATTACTATAATTAGCACTGTAACTCCGCAGATCTTGCATGTTTCCTGGGAATCCCCTCCCTCCTGAGTTACAACTTTCATCTCTGCATGATCTGGATCTGAATTCCATGGTCGACAGAGGAAATATTCAGATTACAGAGCAAATGGAAAAAACTGAGGATGTCTTTATGAGGTGAGGAGAAAATGAAGGGGAAAGTAAAGAAATGATTGATGGGTTTTGCTTTTTCTTTCTCTCTGCTCTCTCTCTCTCTCTCTCTCGTCCTGAATTGTGTTATGATTGTTTAGTACTTTGCCTTTTAAGGTTTACTTTATGTAATCAAAGTTTTGTATGAATTAGTAGCGGTTGAAGAAGATGATGGTGTTATTAGTAGTATTTATTTAATGAAGTGTGTGGGGTATAGCCACATATTCTACTTTGCTTGACATTGCAGAATTGCATGAAGCTTTTTGCCTTTTTGCTTTTGGACTTAGACCGGTTAATGTACACGTGGATCTTTATTAATTTATTGCAAAATAAAGTCGAGAAAATTCTTGTATAAACATGATACACTAAGTTATTCAGAATCTATCTAATAAAATATATCATATTGGCTGATTATAAATATAAATTGATTCGATAGATGGAAAAAGATAAAAAAATTAAAGAATATTATTCCAAAAATAAAATTATTAAAGATAATAACACATAAGATTTTATTTAATTAAATTTGTATAATTTTGTTAAATAAAAATAAATGACGATTTGGATTTAGTGCATGTTCTTAGAATGGGTTCCAAGTGCCCGTCCTATCTAAGTCACTAAAATTCAAATTAACTATTTAAATAAACTTACTTATTTATTAATATCAAGTTGACTATAAATTTAAAATTGTTAACCTGAACTCCAAAAGTCTAGATGGTTAGTGCTTGTACTAGGTACTAAATCTAAATACATGAATGATATGGTATATCCGGGCTATATAAGAATTTTCCTAAACTCTTGCTATTAAATAAGTGAAAGGGATTAGACACTCTCTTAGTAAGGTTAAGAGTTTATGGACAAAAAAAAAACATTTTACTTTATGAGCGTCTCCGTTAATATTCAAATCCAATCAAGTAGTATCTGATACCAGATAATTATAGGGGGAAAAAATCTTTGGAGTGAAAAGGAAACTACAATATTCATGACTTTTATAAATATATTTTACATTTGACATTGAAAATATAAATGAATTAATTGAATATCTATGTGCGTGTGAGATTAATATCATTTAGATAATAGAACACATTAGAATCTTACATATCTCATACATTCATTATTCTTTTTCAAGTTGTGTAATTTGGGTTTAGTAAAATTAAAATTTTATAGGTTTATATCTTTCCTTATTATTTACTTGATTTATCAAAACAGTACGTATTTAGAAAATGATACCATGATAATTATTAGTTTTTTAAAAAATTCAAACTTGCGGATCACTCTTACTCTCTTATTGAAGCTTTTAAATTTACTTAACAAACAAAAATGATGCTGGCCTGAGTATGAGTGCAAAATAACTTATAATTATATTCTTTTTAAAACAGTACAATAGGCGAGGAAAATGTAACTTTGCAATGCTTTTAGGGTAGTTGCATGACCAAGATAATTGCTTAGTATTTTCCCAACAAAATTTATGAGATAACTTCTGGCTGGAATTTATTCCAGGGTTAATGACTTCGGTTTGTACTAAATATTTTCGACAATTTAGAGGTGTTTTTTTTTGAAAAAATTTTAAATTGACTCTTATCTTAGAATGTTTAGGTTGAAATTTTTAAAAATTATACTTCTTTGGAAAGCCTGATAATAACTTTTTAAGACATAATAATAAGCCCACCAATGTTGGAGTAGGTTTTATCTCTAAAAATAATAACTATAATTGTTAAGATTTGTCGTTAAACTTTTTAAAATCAGGATACCTAGAAGTAACTTTCCCTCAACCTTTTGGCTTGTTTTTTGTAAAAACATGTGAAATGAATTTTATGGGAGAAAGTGAACAAAATCTAACCTGAAAGAGAGACCCATTATGCGTGTTGATAGAAATGCAAAACACTGATTTTGAGATGTCCATTGTGGTCCAAATCTTGAATAGTTCCCCAATTTGCTTTCCCCATGTTGAGTGGGAGGCTTCTTCAATCTAGAGGATCAACATTTCAAGGCAAAATTTCAAGTTCAGAAAACTTAATATTTTGAATAAAAAAAATTACTAGTACTTCAGTCATGGAGATCATAACCAGAGCAAGCTTGTATTTTTAAAAGAATTTAAAATAAGTTGCATTATTCATAACTTGTAAATAACATGACTTATTTATATTTTACAGTAATTTTTTTTAATTTTGTTACTCTCTCTCTATACCAACGAAAAAAAAAGAAAAGGATATGGGATAGGTATAAATACTAAACTTGCATACTGTTATTGACTTTGTCATCTTTCATAATGCATAGCATTACCTAAGTTACAAACATTCCGTTCTTGAAGAAACTTGCTGTGGGAGTTTCGTGAAGAATGAAACTTAAAGTAAACTTTGCATATTTGTTATTAGGTTTTAATTTTGTTTTAAAATCAATGGCGCTGAACCTAAAAAGCAGTGATAACAAACACTTGAAAAATATGCATGATTTTGTCTCTCTGTAAAAACTTTACTTTCAAGCTTTAGGTCAAATGCATGGTAACATGCATAATTAGTAGAGTCATTGGAAGCAATCTTGCAGAAAATAATCACACTTGTCCCACTTCTTGATGATAGCCTACTTGATAAGCAATTCAATGTCTTTCTCAACCATGCATACTCTCATCATTTAACACTAACAATAAAAAACAATTTTTCTTTGTAAAGTATTTGAATAATAGCCCTAATGGGAGATGGCCTTGTGCCACAGTGGCACCAGCACTCCTCCTTGAGGAGGACGTGCGTTTGAGTCCAGAGTGGGCAATTGTGGAGGGTGTGTGAGTTTCCTTTCTATGGAGAATGACTGTAAATATGGATGAGTGAGTGTGTATTATTGGGTAGTTGTCCCTACCAAAAAAAAAAAAAAAAGAATGACAGCCCTGACGTGAACACAAATGACATCCATGACGACATTAAGAATAAGAGTCAAAAAGTTAGAGGGAATATTTGGACTATTAGAGTTTACTTAGTTTATTTCAATCAAACTATTTTTATTGAACGTTTGTATTTAATTTTCCTGTGTTTTATTTATGTACTATTTTAAGCCTTAATAGCCTATTTTGGGCTTTTGGATTTAACTTATCTATAAGGTTTATAGAGAGCCTTAGTTGAGTTATGAGTTTTTTATTTCTTTAAATACTACTCTTATATAAACAGCATAAATAAAAAGACATATGGAATAAAAAATTTATTTTTTTTAAACTTATTTATTGATATTCAGGGTTGAATTCCTTGTTTGAGAGATCCTAAGCATTTGGATTATCTTGGGCTTGGGGGGGTGGTTTTCCATATCATTTAGTAATCAGAGCCAAGTTTCTTCTAATAGATTGTATCCTTCCATTTTATTCATCTTCGTCTTTTCACCAGTCCATCCTTTCATCTATTCATCTTTTTTCATTTATCCATCCTCCTTTATGGAGAAATAGGAAAAAAATTGACTTAATTAAGCTAAATGGATTCTAGTTATGGATGCCACATAGGATGCCACTTGTGCTCACATCACGCCCCTTTATGAATCACAATGATAAATGAAGTGTCTATTTTTAAATTTCAGCTTCTCAACAAAACACATCATTTTACAAACCATGTATGTGTGTGTGTGTAATAAATGATATTTAGTTTCAAATCTAATCCAGACTTCTTCTCTACAAGCCACCCACAGTATAAATAGAGTAAGAAAGAAAGATGGTTTGGGGGAACTCATAGATTAAGTGAGGTCCATCAAAACTTCCCTCTTTCTTCTTTCTAGTGAGAAGCCACAATCATCTAATTTTAAATATGAAACTTTATTTTATTGTAAAAAAATTTAAGTGAGTTGACTTCTAAAAATTTATAAAAGCAAATTTGAAGCTTTTAATTTGATTAGAGAGATTGAATATCTATATTCTTTATTCATATGAAATATTTGATATACTTTTATATATAATAATCACTTGATAGCATGCATGTCTGTGTATATTATTTTTCCATTTCATATATTAAAGGTTTGTTAATAAATAATTAACTTCCCTCCCACAACCCCCACCCCCCCCAAAAAAAAGCAACACAAAAACTTGCAACCAAAAAAAAGCAACACAAAAACTCGCACATTATTGCTAATTATTATTTTTCAAATCAGTGAGCTTGTTGTCATGAATGATATTTTCGTGGCCGTGTAAAAACTAATATAATGAACGATCTACTGGTTAGCCTCGCACAATATGGGAAAAGGGGGAGACATTAGCATTTGGGTATGTTCTGCCTTAGTCTTCGGGCTAAGTGCACAACTGATCTGGGGCTAATGCCGCCTCCCTGATAAGCCCATGGCAGGGTGAAACCAGTAAGATTTGTATGTGGAAAGGCTGGTTCCGAGGATTATGAGGTCCTCGGGATGCCGCACGGGCGCTGTGTGCTACGCCAGACTCTAAGCCCATGACATTGTGCTGTGCTGCTACTGCAAAGGATAACCTTCATGGGAAGGACTAGAGGGAATGTCAGATACAACAATAAATGAATGAATTTTGTATTAAATCCATTACAAATTATGGCCATATGCCTCTGAATCTAACGGTAAAATTTTAGAAAGAATAGAACAAAAGAAGAAGATAGAACTTGTCAAAAAGAAGCCCTGATTACTCAACAGAGAACAAAAATTAACTCATCAAAGCAGATCAGTAACATTTGATGGCAGCTCCTCTATGGTCACATTATAGAACTTCTGAATATCAGACAACATTCTCAAATCATCCATACTCACAGAGTTTATAGCAACACCTTTTCTTCCAAACCTTCCACTTCTCCCAATCCTATGCAGATAGTTTTCAGGTTGGGTTGGAAGATCATAGTTTATAACCAAAGAGACTTGCTGCACGTCTATACCTCGAGCCAAGAGGTCAGTTGTGATCAGAACTCGCGATGAGCCAGACCGGAATTCACGCATGATAATGTCACGAGCGTTTTGATCCATGTCACCATGTGTAGCTGAGACAGTATGATCATTGCTTCTCATCTTATCAGTGAGCCAGTCCACCTTTCTGCGAGTATTCACAAAAATGACACTTTGTGTGATAGCTAGCGTTTCATAAAGATCACATAATGTCTCCAGCTTCCACTCTTCTTTCTCAACATTGACATGAAACTGTTTGATACCCTCAAGGGTCAGTTCATCACGCTTCACCAAGATTCTCACCGGTTTATTCATAAACTTCCTTGTAATATCAAGGGCTTCTGGTGGCATTGTAGCAGAGAACACTCCAACCTGAATTTTACCAGGCAGTAGCTGGAATATGTCATAGATCTGCAATACAAACCAAACTATTAATAATCTCATGCCTAAGAGAACAAGCTGATGCCATCTAACAGAAGACTTGAGACATGGAATATGTGATGCATGGACGATCACATGTTCTAGACTAGATTGGCTGTAATCAATATGTAATTCATAGAAAATTTGGGTTAAATCTCCATAATCATGCATTTTCCCTGTATACATGTTTCAGAGACTGAAACTCTAAGGATGATGACAGACAACTAATGTTAAAACAGTCACCATTGATAAGCTAATTCACAAACCTGGTCCTTGAAACCACGTGAAAGCATTTCATCAGCTTCATCTAAGGCAAACATCTTTATGTGGTCTGGGCAAAGAGATTGCCTTCGTAGCATGTCAAACACACGGCCGGGAGTGCCAACAACAACATGGACACCAGATTGGAGCATTCGCTGATCCTCACGTACACTTGTGCCCCCAACACAAGCATGAACCCTCACACCAAGGTAATCACCAAGAGCTCTCATAACTTTCTCAATTTGCTGTGCTAGCTCCCTTGTTAGTGCTAAAACCAAGGCCTGGCACTCAACCAATCCATAATCAAGCTGTTGTAAAATTCCAGAACAGAAAGTGGCCGTTTTCCCAGTCCCAGATTGAGCCTGTTGAATCACATCAAGACCTCTGCAGAAAGGAACAATTCCTCTTTGTTGAATTGCCGATGGCCTCTCAAAACCTTTAAAACAAAAATAATATGTTAAATGCATTTCTTCTTGTTTTCATTTTTAAAAGATACGGTACTAACTCTTTGCTAAAAAATGTAGACAGCTTCAAAACAAGGGGAAAATATCAGAAATTGTGATCCATCACAAGTTATTATTTAACTGTGCGATTTGGTTTCATGTCAGAAACACTAAAACCATGATTTCAGCGTTTTCCGATGTGAAACCAAACACGCTCTAAATTCTTTTCTATAGAACTACTACTAAGCTTGCTTCCTGATGTCAAAAAACTGTTAACCATAAATTTTCTCAAGCCAAGTCAAGCTAGAAATTATCAATTAATTCTAGATAAATAATATGCATAAGAAAACATATAGATGATAATTGTCCTAAGGAATTGATAATGAAAAAGAACTTTCTGCCAATACATACCAAAAGCATAAATGCCTCTTAAAAGATTTTCTTGCAACCCCATGGCATCAAAAGTGTCGTAAACTTCATCATATGAGATGAAGAATTCTTCTCCATCAGTGGAAAGCCTGAGTAATCCGTTTGCTACAAGTCAAATTACAGCATAGGCACTTAAATAATTAGTCCAAGCATTGCAAGAAGTGAACAGTATCTCGCACAGTGACTTACAATTCAGTCATCTTAGCATCATATTGACAACCATCAAATTGTGTTCTTTCTGGAGCCAGACCTGCCATCACTACAATGCGGGGAAAACCAAGTAGTCAAGTAATCTGAAAAACTGTAGAAAAGCTAAAACAGATAACAAAAAGAGGCTCCAAAATTATTCTGAAACAACGCAAGTCACAGATATAGATACAAATAACAGTAATTGATTATATTCTCAGCCAAAGGAAGGATTTTCTTGCTCTCCTCCAAGAGGAAAAGGTATATGTGAATTTCTATATTTGTCAAGACTATCATTTATCGTATAAAAATAAGATCCCAATATTGGAAACATTTAACAACTTTTGATAGCTGCATTATTAAGTATATCATTTTACTGCAGATTATTGAGTAGCGCATCATCGTGCTTATGCCACAAAACTCTATACAACAATGCATGAATGAAAAACCCATAATTCCGAGAACAAGAGCTTTTCTACGTTACATTATCGTCCCTTAATTCCCGGGCAACGAAAAAGATCACCAAAAAAAAAAAATTGCACTGGTTCACAGAATAAGAACTCTCGGAAGAAGCAGTCAGATCAACCCCAGATTCCATTCAGACGAGAGAGAGAGAGAGAGAGAGAGAGAGAGAGAGAGCAAATTAGGTACCTGGTAGTACGTTGAAGCTTGCTTGTATAGCTACTAACAATAGAGAATAGAAAGGAAGAGAGGAATTAACAGTTGAAAGCGACTTCAAAAGGACATGAAGGTTTCCACAAACTCCTCGGATCTGCACTGTGGAGTTGAAAGCAGGTGAACGCAGGACGTAGAATTGTATTCTAACACCGTTTTCCCCACCTAATTCTAACGCCTTTCATACACAAACATGGTATGATATCGTTCCCAAAATACTTGGAGTAATTCTTATCAGTATATCTAATGTATTTTACAATATCAGATAACTTATCTATTTTCCAAAATCAAATTAATATATCAACAATAAAACAATATCAATATAAATTATTATTAATATATATAAAAGTATAATATAACTAACTTCTTTTATACACACAATAGAACTAACTTTTTATCCACCGTAATCAGATTTTTCTTAATTTTTCTTGTTATTTATCTTCCCTAGTGTATTCACTTGATTTAAATTATTTTAAATTCTTATGTCATTACTACATTATGTTATAATTTTCCTTTGTATTCATCATCATCATCATATATATATGTAAAATATATCTTACTTCCCGTCCCTCGTATCTGATTTCTTTCTTTTTCTTCTTATTTATCTGTACTTACAATTTTTTTATATTAATTTTTTCAAAAGAAAACCGCCTTAAAATTGAGGGCAATTTTATGCTCTTCATAGTAGTGAAAACTGAGTTAACTTTATAAGTTGAACTAGCAAATTATTAAATTAATTTATTTGCTAGGTTCAATAAAATATTTTGTTTATATCCATGACTTGGCTATACTTTTAAGGTTAAATTATATATTATTTTCTTGAGTTTTAAATCCATGCATAATCTCCTTAATTTATAAAACTTTACAATAAACCCCTCTCAACTCTTATATTTATGTAAATAATTATATATGATTAATTTTATACATTAATTATATACACATAATTTAAAGTTTAGGGGGTCATCCGTATATCAATCAAAGTATGGAAGCTAAAATGCACACAAAAATAAAATTTAAGGGGATACATAATTAATTATTAGTAGTTATTTACATAACCTTGAAAGCTCAAGGAGGTTTATTATTAAGTTTTAAAGGTTAAATGGGTTATTTGTACATGATTCAAAGTTTAGGAGAGTTCTATGTAATTTAACCTAAACAAAGTTTATTTGTAAGTTTTAAAGGTTAAATGGGTTATTTGTACATGATTCAAAGTTTAGGGGAGTTCTATGTAATTTAACCTAAACAAAGTTCTATGTAAGTTTATTTACATAAACTTGAAAGCTCAAGGAGGTTTATTATTAAGTTTTAAAGGTTAAATGGGTTATTTGTACATGATTCAAAGTTTAGGAGAGTTCTATGTAATTTAACCTAAACAAAGTTTAGGGGAGTTCCATGTAATTTAACCTATTTTTAATCATAATCATTAAGTGTCCGTTTGTTTAAGATTAAAAAATAAGTAATTTTTAGATAGTCCAGAAATTTTATAAAAAGATATTTATTTTGTAGAGATTTATAAAAAGCAGATATTATTTTATGTTTAGTTATAATAATAAAAAGTGATTATTAATTAGTTATTTTTAAATTTTATGATATCTTTTTTTATTTTTGTTTTATCAAAATTATTTATTATTATATTATTTTAAAATTTTATGATATCTTCACATATCCTATCTCTTTAAAACACTCTCTCATCTACTGTATTAGATTATTTTTAAAAGCTACTCAAAGTAGCTTCTTAAAATAATTACATATTTGCTTCTTTTTTTTTTTAGATTCTAATTATTTTTAAAAGTTCAAACAAACATCATAAAAACTCATAAAATAAATTTTTTAAAAAAATAAGTTATTTTTTCGTAAAATAAGCTAAAACAAATGAGCCCTAAATCAATGCATTGATCAGATTAATGACAAGTTGGATTTTTTAAAGCTGGTTATTCAAGCAACCTGAACTTATTTGGGTCAGACTTAAAATACTTGAATATATATATATATATATATATATAATTATATAATTATATAGCCAACCTTGACTTTAACACTTCAAGCTTTTAAGTTTATTCGAATTAACCTGAATACCCAAATTGTTAAAAATTATTTTTATTTTATTTTATTTTTAGCTAATTTCAATTTTTATCTTATTTTAATTTTATTTTATTAAGAATAATCAAAAGAATTTGGGTATTCTAATTAAGCCTATTCAAATTCAGGTTTGACCTAAATTTCTTCAAATTTTTTCAAGTGGCCTAGGTAAACTCAAAACAAAGAAAATATTCTAAATCTCAAACCTAACCTTGACCCTAAAATTTTTTAAACTTATTCAAGATTGGTTCAAATTGTCTCTTCTAAATTTTTAGTAGTTGGTTGCTATGAATTTTATTACAATTTTCTTCCTTTTAATTTTTTTGGCTTGTCACATTTTTCTTATCCTAGGAAAATTTGAAAGTAGAAAGTTATGCTTACCATACAAATTAATTAGATCACGTCCATATTACGTGTAACTATAAATTTCACTAGACTAGATGTTCTCCAAAAATTATTTTTAAAAATATTTTTAGACAAATTTCATATTACCAATCTAAGACTCACAATTGATTAATTTTCCTACACAGCTGAAATAAAGCTTGGATTTTAAGTGATTTTTTTTTTACTTACTTATGTATAAAATTTTATGTGAAATCCACCAAGTGATGATTGGTGCAAACTTAACATGGATAGTGCTTTCTCCACGTATATAAATGAGATTGGTTGTGGTGGATTAGTACACAACTCAAAAGGGGAGTTTGAAACTTGATTTATGTTTAAAATGAATGATAGGAATTCATTTCGTGTTGAGCCTTGAGCCTGCTTGTGGGGCTTTAAAGTTTCATGGGATCTTGACTATAGGAAGCTCATACTTGAATTTGATTCATGTTAACCTATCAAGGCACTTAATAATATTGACCTTCTTAACTAATTGAATGCTGATGTTATTGGTGAAATGCAATTGTTGCTAGTCTAAGATTGGGTGGTGCCCATCTAGTGCATTTCGAGGGATGCCATTGGAGCTGCTGACCTTCTTTCCAAGCTAGCTTTTTTTTTTTTTTTTTTTACATTAATAGGTTTCACCCTGACTTCTTCCCTCCCCTTGAATTAGGGACGTTTCTATGTTTGCCATAAAGGGGACAATTGCCCAACTAGTCCAAGAAGATATTACTTAAAATAATAATAAATAATTTTAGTTGTCCCTCTTAAAAAATTCCAATTGTCCCCCTCACTTCAAAAAAATTCACTCATGCCCTTATAAAAGTTTACTTATTCCATTATCTAAAATTATATATATATGTGTATTTTATAAACTTAAACAGAAGTAGCTTTAAAATGGAAAAGAAAAAATTTAGAAAAAAAAATTGCTCATGAAAAATTTTATCAAAAAAAAATTATTTACCATATAAAAGAGGTATATTAGTTTTATTTAATGAAAACTAAAATCATGATTCTAATAGATATAACAAATATTTATATAAAGAGAGTATTTTATGTTATTATAATGTTATATTTTAATATTTAATTTTATTAACTTATACCATTAATTAAATTTAATAGATATTTAAAATTGTTTATTTTATAAAAATATTAATATTTATTTTAAGTATAACTTATGCCCTCATTGATTAATTTTTTTAGATCTGTCACTGCCCTGAGTTAGTTATTGTTCTAATACAAGACATTAGCATTGGCGCTTAGTTTCTTTCTTCTTGTGTATATAAAAAAAATTATGTAAATTAGATTCTTGAAACTCACCAGTTTTATATAATTTTATTAACTAAAAAAAATGATTACAGTAATAATTATATGAGAAAATACCTTTGCTCCTTATAGTTTATCCGATCCCTGTAATTTTATTTGTTTTAATTGGGACCTTGTATTTTTCACTATTAATACAGTTAATCCTTTTCCATCTAACACCGTTTAAATCAATGACAAATCCATTAACTCTGTTAGTCTAACCTGATTAGCAGCCAGATAGATTAATTTTTTTACACCGTGAACTAACAGCATGTGCTAAAGGAAGAGAACGAAACATCAATCAAGTAGAAGAGTCTTCTCGCTCTTCCACTAAACCCCAATACCCAAAAATGCAATGTTTTAGAGTTAGAGTTATTAGACGATATGTTGTTGTCCAATCGGATCAGTCGCTGGTCTTCGCACTCATACAACAGTGTTTCCGAGTATGAGTGCGAAGACTGTTCTGCTTGATCGATGTTTCTTTCTCTTCCTCCAGCACATCTTGTTAGTTCACGGTGTAAAAAAATTAATCTACTTGGCTGCTACTCAGCTTAGACTAACAGAGTTAATGGATTTGTCAGTGATTTAAACGGTGTTAAATGGAAAATGATTAACTGTATTAATAATGAAAAATACAAGGTCCCAATTAAAACAATTAAAAGTACAGTAACCTCATTTAAAATTAGGCTAAACTATATTACAAAGATATTTTCCTATACTTATGTTACTAACCATGAAAATTCTTATATCTTATAATACTATTAAAGTGCTTGTGCGATGTATGGATCATATGCAACAATATTTTTTAAATAAGTGTTAATTTTATAGCAAAATCTAATAGGCACCTTTTTCATATTATCTTATATGTAGTGGGGCTATATTAATTATTGTCGTTAATATTAAATATGTATATTAGAGTATAGCAAATAATAAAAACTAAAAGCACATTGTGTAAATGAGTATAGACGGAAGTAGATTAATAAAAAATTTATAATTATTTAGATTAAATTATCAAAATCATTCCTATGAATAATATTAGAAGTTCTATTCATGGAGCGACTATCCTTATTAAGAGCCAATTCTTTTAACCTTTCTCACTTTGAACACGAGAAACAACAACATATAAGGTTGTGAATGAAAATAGGACAAGATGGATACAAACTACAATATTTAATTTTATTATTGTACCAAAATATAAAATAATTTAATTACTTCTTTTTAAATGATTTAATTTGAATTTCAAATATATACATATAAACGTGCATAATGGGTAACCACTCCTTTATTTTAGATACATGCATGCATGCATGCA